AATTAAACTAGAATTCAGAATGCATAGAACACAGTACAGAATGTTTCACAGAATAATTAAGGAATGGAATGGGGAGCATATGTTATTCTCAAGCTTTCTCCATACTAATTAGACAAGCCACCTTATTGCTTCTTCTCAAAGCTCTTCTTTTTGTTCTGCTTCCTCCCTCTTTCATACAGCCCCGATTGCATCCTTGCCCTCATCTGCTTTACTGAAGTGCCTAAGGGCCCATATCCACTGGCTTTGATTTCTAAACATGGCAGCCCACCATGTATCTAAATGTGCTGTTTCTTGACCTATCAAAAGTCCGTATGAAGGCTGACTTGTATTTTTCTCTTGGGGTATTAGATTGGATGTTCCAAGTCATGAATCTGTCATTAGTGGTAGTCACCTGCTGTAGATTGAATATGGGTGACAATTTGCTAAGTAATAAATTAATATGTTGTGATTAAAACTACTTGCATGCCAAACAGTGAAAAAAACCCTCACTACTTTTCTGAAGGTGAAGCAAGAGACTAGCAAGAATAAGAACACCCTTACTACTTGGCAGGACAAATGATAGTTTATCATGGAATTACATGCATACTATGGAATGTTACTGCTTGGCAAATTGTTGTTTTGCATTGTCTGGTGTTCACACTATGGTTTATAGAAGCCTTCCACAACCAGGTGCCCTCTAGGTGTTTGGGAATACAACTCATCCAAGTCCAAGCCATCATGATCAAGCCTCCTATGACAATGGGAATTGTAGTCCAAAATATCTGGAGGGCTCCAGGTTGGGGAAGGCTAGTTTACAGGAAAAAGCTGAGGTACGTGAGGTAAGAGGGTCAGAGATTCCTTTCTTAATAAGTAATTTGCTATTGTGTTAGTATGTCAGATTTCAGAGACCCATGTCTCCCATGCACAGAGGTGACATTTAGAATTCGATATATCAGGTATACAAATATGAATGCTAGGTAAAAATGAATACTGCTGGTGATCATTAACGTGAGAGACTTTTCTTATGGCAGATCATTCATAGGGAAATCTGAGAACATTTATTAGATTTAAGAGTAGGTAACTTAATAGACTCAACCAGTCCTGAAATATTTGGTAATCAGTTTTTAAAATTTATAATGTTACTTTAATATAACAGATTTTCTAAAAATAGAAAATAGCATGGAGACACAATGTGTGTGTATATAATCAAGTTCCATGCCAACTAACGCGATAGAGCTTATTAAAAATAGTGGCCCCAAACTGCCAGAATTAACTTGGCATTTATTAGATGTCTAGGAATAAGCTAAAATGTAGAGTATAAGAGTGAGATTTTTGACTTCCAAAAGCTCTTGGCATCCATCAAAATGAATGAATGGGAATCTGGCAAAATAATGATAGCAAGTGTATTGCTGTTGGCAGGGGGAAAAAGAATTTAAAATGTTTGTGAGAAGAAATTTGACCTTTCATATAAAAGACATGATAGTTTTCTATGGAAAATTGGCCCATAAACCTGAATTTAAGGCACACACAGATCCTCCCTAAAATACACCTTCCCATTCTATTGAGAAACAATTTCAAGCTATGGTGCAGTGAAACATTTCCTTACCTTACTTACGTTATAATTTTGTGTGCCTGGAAAAGCACCTGGAATCAATTATGCACATAGACACTTAAGCCCAGGGTTGGTTATCTTCACAATTGTTTTTCTTTCTCTAAAAAGTAGTCTAATATCCTGATCACAGACTGATTTCACTGCCCATATTGCAGATAGAGAAGTGGAAATGAAATTCTCTTGTTTCTGCATTTCCCAAATATGTTGGGTGTGTGGAAGAAATGATCATGTAAGAAATAGGACCGTGCACAGCCTCCAGATCTGAGTTGGGGCCTAATCTATTACTTGGAATTAGCCCTGATCTGACTGGGGCCAACCTGACCTGGATCTGGGCCCCAAAGCAATTCAGGGGCTAGCACTAATGTGTAATTAGAGTTTAGTGTTTAATATGCAGACAGGAAGGCATGGGGGAAAGAAAGACTTCTGTGTTTGGGAGGCAAACACAACTGGGTAGTCCCGGTTTAAAAAGGGTTGCCATATAAGACCCCAGCTTGTTTTGGGAACAAACACAAATTGTTGAACTTTTTGGGAAACCTTGAAAAATACTGATTTTAAGTTTTTGGAGCTGTTTCCACTGATTTTTCCATCGCGTTGTCATACTTCTGGGTTTTCTCTGGCATTTTGCTGATTTGGCAAAATTCCTCCCTGACACCATTTTTGCACCTGAAAACCAGGACATGTCAGGAATTTTCCTGATATATGACAAGCCTAGGTTTAATGGGGAAGAGAGAAAGCAAGTGGAGCACAGTAGCTGCTGCCCCCCCTTGACACCTCCTTCCTTCCTTCCTTACTTTCCCCTCTATTCATTATTAGGCTCCTGCCATCTCTGCCTCCATCTTGTGTTCCCTTGCTCTCTCCATCCTGCAGCCAGAGTTGTGCAGAGCTGGTAATAGGCCCAGGCCAGATGGGAAATGTAGGTCCCATTTTAATAATCTTTACCAAAGGGCCCCTTCCCCTTTGCCTCTAGCAAGGGAACTGTGAGTAGGCCCCCTCAAAATTGTAGGCCCATGCCAATTGGACCCCTGCCCCCCTCTCTGTTCTGTCCTGCAATGGGAACCACAATGGAAGGACTCAAGGCAGTGGCAGTGGCGCCAAACAGATTAGGAGCCATGGGTATGAGATGATAGAGCCAAGGAATAAGTTGAGCCAACATATTCTCTGTGGTCAATGGTACAAGCCCATCTGTTGCACAGAGGATCTGCCTCTACCCAGGAGGGGGAGGAGGCAGCCTAGGTAACATATGATACTTTCTCTCCCTCTGCCCTGCCTCCTTTTTGACAGCCCCAGATAACTCTTGATACCAGGCAGGTTATTGTACCGTCTTCCAGACTTAATAGCACAAACTGGTGAGGTTGGCATGATGTTTCTTTGCTTAAAACAACAAATCACCCAGGCTTCCAGTTTCCCTGTTTTTGAAACAAGGAGTGAGTGATTCAATCAGGTCACAAATTCATTTCCTGGCATCTCCAGTTTAAAGGATCTGATATAGCAGGGATGGAAAAGACCATGGCTTAAAATGTTGGAGAGCCAAGCAGTTCTCTGAAAAGCCACCAAAAGTCATGCAGTTGAGAAAGTCCCACCACAACTGAATCCCATATTTGAACAGTCTCTGGCACACTGCTGCTGTGTGTAGGATTATGGCATAAAGCAGAAACTTATTCAGAGCTGAAGGATATTCATATTAGGGTAACCCATGAATAAAAAGACTAGTGCAGGGAATGGAAAAGAAGCATGGCAGACTAATGTAATACAACAATGAAGAAATTGTATAGGGCAAAGTTGGTTGTGTGGGAGTGTATGATGAAGATAAGGAGGTGTGAGAAGTACATGTGAGCTTTCTATAGGAAGACTGGGGTCCAAGTATAAAACCCAAATAATACAAAATATCAGAAGGTGAAGAAAGATATACTGAGTCTGAAAAAGGCAAATGAATTGTGGTGTATAAGTATAAAAGTGTTGAAAGAGCAACCAAGATTTTCATATACTCTGGAAAGTATGTGGGATAAAGATACCTCTCTCTGATCATGTGGTTTTTCTTCTCTTATTTTCTTTCAGAAAGGAGTGCAGTAATTTTCACAGCGCTGTGGTTTATAATAGAAGGGATTTATTAGAGAAGGTGTCCAGGAATAGCCTATTACATTACCATCTAATCTGACTCAATTAAAAGTACCAGGGAAAAATACTTCAGCTTTTCCCTCTCTAAGCCTTTTCTTTCTGATTTGCAAATGAGTTACTAAAAAATCACATCTGCAGGCATTAATGTAAAACTGTCATTTATGCTGTACCTTGCAATTATGTTGAAATTCAGTGGAATGAATTTATGTTAATGTTATTTGAAAAATAATGCACACAGGTCTTTCTCTTCTTGTTTTTGTGCCATCTTGACATAGTCTGTCAATCTGGGGTAAATGTGGTCATCTTGAAGTGGTGTAGTGGAGCAGGAATTCAGGGAAACACAGCTCTTACATTTTTCACAGCAGGAGTAATGACATAATCTTTGGGAGCAGTCTTGCCAGTATTGCTGCTGGTTGAAGGAAAGCTCTGGCCTGGCACATAGCCCTTTTGTTAGATAGACTAGGCTGACAAAGTCTGCTACTGAGCGTCATGCTTGATCAGAGATGTGAACCCGTATCTCCTCAGCTGACAAGTCCAACATGCTAATTGCTAAGTTGGATCCTCCTAATTGAGGGTCCGTGTTGTGCGTGGGCCCGAGGCGCACCCCCATCCATGGGGTGGGGTGGGGATGAGCTCAAGCCTTGTGGTGCCCCACGGTCGCGCCACGGCATATTGGCCAATCAGAGTGTTGTGGAGTGATCGTGTGGGCCATTAAAAGCCAGTGGCGTGTCGCTGGGGCTTTACCTGGCTTCACGCTGCCGAACCCCCCCCCCCAGTGTTTTAGGTTTCTGCTTTGGCCTTGCTCTGGACTTCGGCTGGTCGCCTGTTTTGGAACAGGGGCTAGGTAGGGATTTTTTTTCCATTTGGCAGATTGGCACTGTCCATTTTCACCTACCTCTTAGCAATTGTCACAACTTTGTAAGGTTTGGCAGTTAAGCATTGGCTTAGTGAGCTGTGGGGGAGGGGAGGTGTGGCCATCACCTGCCCCTCCAGGTACAAGGGTATTCTGTTAAGGGAATCTACGGGTCTGAAGTTGTCCAAAGTCTGCTTGTGGGGCTAGGGCTATGCCAGGACCCTGCGGGTGAGCTTCAGTTGGTCGCCATCAATGGAGCTCCCTCTGTTGGTGGTTTGCCCTTCTAGACTTCCTGCAAAGCGGGCAGGAGTCAGATATAGTTATTGCCAATGCCTAAGCCAATACCACTCACATTGCTGTAATCAATAAAGCTGTGACCTAAATTTTGCCCATTAACCTTAAACTAAAATTCTGTGTCAATGTGTTTTTATTATTTTATTAGGGGTGCGTTGGGCCTTGTTGCGCAAATCAGCCTTTGCCAGTTGATGCCTTTTCCAACTCTTTTTGGGACTGCAGTTATGGACTCTCCATTGGTATGTGGCTCTGGAAGCCATTATGATAAGCTCCTGCACTTCAAAATTAAACACAACATCACTGGTGATCAATTAAGTGGTTCAGGTTTTTCCTAACTCTCCAATCAGTTAAGTTGAACGGGATAGCCTTTTTCAATTTCTATAAGATAAGAAACTTAAAAGAAATGGAACTTAAACAATGGCTTTATTGTTTGAAGGGCACAATTCCCCCACATAGTGCATGCCATTTAAATTTATACATTCTTGACATATTGTTGGATTAATTGAATTGTATTCTATTTAAACAAAGTGGCAGCCCTGTTTCTTGGCCTGATTAAAGTTATTGAGTTTACAGCATCGTATTCTTTGGCTCTGGTGAAGGAAGCATTTCTTTAATTGCTTCCTTAATGCACCCTGCCTGTCTCCTTCCAGAATAAATGGGTGAGATTGTCAGGTTTCACTCTATGTGTGTTTTAGAGAAATTTATATAATAGTCAATTTTGTATTAAAAGTGATTAGATCACAGGATACAGCTGTCCACAGATATTACTGCCATAATTTAAAACATGGAGTATCAGCAGAATTCTAAAACTTATATTTTGAGGTGATAACAGTGTGAACTACTATTTCAGGAAGAAAAGAAAAGAAAGAGACTACTAAATGACATTGATATCACATAAATTTTTTTTTAGCTTTTCAACTGAATCCAATAATACAGTTCTACCAAACAGCCCTTTTATTAAATCTAATTATATTCAATTGTAATGTTCACATTAACTCTTTTATTTTCTAGATCCTTGACTTTAAAGACAAACCCATATTCCCATTACAATACATCCCCCCAAAGAAATGTGTTTACATGATGTACAATTATTTTATTTTCATAAAAATTGAGTATTGTATTCCTTTACAGCTGTTATTGTCAAAAAAGAAACACAGTTGCCCTTGAAACGTGGTTGTGAAATGTGTCTTTATTAAATCTGTCTGGTCTAAGTGTCAAAGCTATCTTTTATTTAGAGCACTTCATAGCAACATTTGTAACAATCTTTTTTCTTCTTCAATTGGTTAAAAGTGTCAACTTTCTCCTCAGTCAAGGCAGTCTTAAATTTGCACATAATCTTTCAAATGTTAGTGACTGCTTTTGCAACCAGAACTTTGTGGCATGGCATGTTGGCAAACTTATAACTCAGATTTGTCATAAAACCACAGCGGTAGACATAAAACGCTATCATGAATCTTACTGCAAAACTTAAAACTGTGCATTTGGAAGAAGCAAATACGCTATTCATAAGAGTAGTAAATGGCTGTACTGTTTTAAGATTCCAAATTAATTTCACAAAGCAGAAAGCATTCTGGTACTCTGGCTGAGCTCCAGTTCCCCAATCTCCTTTGAAGTTTTGATTGGATAAAGTGTTTTTAACTTCCTTTGCCAAAAACGCTTGCAGAATGTTGCTTAGTATTGTTAAGTGCACCACTGTGCTCTGTTCCAAGGATGGCTGCCTTTCACCTGCAGTGGAAGTCACTCTTCTGTATGAATAGTTTATAATTAGCTAAAGTGCTCTTGGCTTTGTGGCTTTATTATATAGTTCTTATGTTTAGTTCATGAGTGATTCAGTTATATTGGAAAAAGAAATATTTTATTCTTTCAGTTAACATAAGTGCTACTATTGTTTATTTCTCTCGTTACATATTTCTTTATTATGATGAGCAATTTAGCCTGCCCCTCATTTTAGGATCCCAAGTCAGGGTTCAAGATACAAATCACATAAAATTACACAAAACAGCCATAAATCATACAAAATAAGAAGTAAAATCACAGAGCAGGCTCCCTACCACAGTTAATGCTAAAAGGTAAAGGTAAAAAGATAAAGGACCCCTGGATGGTAAAGTCCAGTCAAATTTGACTATGGGGTGCGGTGCTCATCTCCCCTTTCAGGCCAAGGGCATTTGTCCACAGACAGCTTTCTGGGTCATGTAGCTAGCATGCCCAAACTGCTTCTGGCTCAACAGAACACTGTGACAGAAGCCAGAGTGCACGGAAACGCCGTTTAGCTTCCTGCTGAAGCAGTACCTATTTATCTACTTGCGCTGGTATGCTTTTGAACTGCTAGGTTGGCAGGAGCTGGGACAAAGCGACAGCAGCTCACCCCATTGTGTGGATCTGAACTGCTCAAGAGGCTCAGTAGTTTAGACCACAGCGCTACCTGTGTCCCACTAAAACACTGAATATATCAAGGCAAACACATACACTTGGGATCACAAGTACAAAATAATTGATGACAGGTGGGGACAAATTCCACAGATGGGGCACCATTGCAGGGAAAGCTTAAACATTTTCCAGATTAAGTCAGCAGTAATAGACAACATCCAAATGCAAATTCTGTTATGTGTCCTTACCTGTAGATATGCTTACTGCAACATGGCTCCCCATGTTGTTGGCCTCCCACTCCCATTAGTCCCAACCAGCATGTTCAATGGTCAGGGATGGTGAGAGATGTAGTTCAGTGGCATCTGGAGGGCCACAGATTTCCCCACCCCAATGCCTAGGCTATACACTGAAACCAGAATTGAGATATTCATTTGTTCTTCATTTTTCTCCACTATGATTTTTTTTTCAAAAAGCAACCGCTGCAGAGATCTCTGGGTGTATCTGTGTCCATCACAGTTGAATCTGGCATCTGGAGTACTAATGGCTGCCATTAAGACATACCCTTGCTTCCAGTTTAAGGTAAAGGAACAGATGATGATGATGATTATTTTCCGCCCTTAATCCACAGGTTGCAGGGCAGTTCGCAAGATAAAAATACAGGATAAAAGCACAAAATGAATAGTTTTTTTAAAAAATCAACCCACTCCCACAAAGGATGAAGAGGAATATTTTTGCCTGGCGCCTAAAGATGCATTATGAAGGTGCGAGATGAAACTCCCTGGGGGAGAGCATTCCACAAATGGGGAGCCTCTGCAGAAAAGGCCTGTTCTCATGTTGCCACTCTCTGGACCTGTTATGGAGGAGGCACGTGAAGAAGGGCCTCAGATGATGATCACAGAGTCCAGGTCAGTTTATATCAGGAGTAGCGGTCCTTGAGGTATTGCAGTCCTGAGCTATTTAGGTACACCCACCCATAGATTTGAAGGCAGAGAAGCAAAAACCTGCTTTTCTCTCTTTTTGCCCAACAAAAATGAATTAATGCAACTGAAATCAAGGAAACAAAACCAGCACACCTATTCTGTTATACTCCTATGACTTTGATGCATATGCAGTTTGTTGTTTTCACTAGGCTTTGGACAGCTAATGAAGGTTTGGATGATCAGAAATTTAAGAATCTATCTCTGTTTTGTTGACATGGTTGGTAGGACAGCAGGATTATCGGTTATATTCATGAAGATTGTTCTTGTGAATATCAGCCACCAAGCTGTCTCAGAAATGATTACACTTATTATTTGTTTTCAGTTTTGCCCTGACAGTTTTTCACAAAATTACTGATGCTGGAAGGTTTGAAAAACATACTGTATCACTGACAATACATGGAGGAATAGCAACCCACTTCTGCTGTCTTTTTTTTAAAAAAAGGATATTACCACCGTCTGGTAGGCTGTAGGGAAAGGAATAAAGCAGTGTTTGAAAACAAAAGAATAGCACAGAGAGGTAGGTGGAAAAGATGCTAGGGGGAACAAAAACTGCTGCAAGCAAGACTTATCATAATCATTCAAGGAGGGCTTACAAAAGGATATTAAAACTACCTGGGAGACCACAGCCTAGGGCCATTTTGGCAAGGAAAGGAGTAAAGAGAGACTGTAATGCAATAATAGTGGAGGATTTGATCACAGACAAACATTTAGAAAGGAAAATGGGAGGGAATAGCTTAAATTCATTGAATCAACCTCACTCTGTTTGGGTTTCCCTGCCTTCTTTTTGCCTATTGTTTGTGCAGGTTTCTTTTGTTAAATGCAGAGATTCTCCCCCGCCCCCACCGGAATATCTAAAGTTGCTTTAATACTTAGAAACACAATGCATTAAATCTTTTTTAAAAAAATATAATTTATATTTTCCTTTCTCCCATTAATTTTTTTTCTGTTTTGCCATATTGACCACAGCCAACATTGACCAGGTGTGTTTCTTGGACCTCACAGGCTGTTAGCATATCTGTTGTCTTTGTTTTAAGGGAAAACTCCACTGTTCCATACTAAATGTTGCCAGTCCTTGCCTTACAAGCCTCTGTGTATTGTTTTCCCTATGTGTTTTTCATTGTGACTCTTCTAAATATATATAGAGAGAGCAGCTCATCAGACAGTACATTAAATTTGTTATTATGCTGTAAATAACCAGAGGTTACTGAAAGCTCAGTTGCATACATGCACAGTGTGAACAAAGGTTTCCCCCCATCTATTTCAGTACCAGGGACAGTAAACACAAAAGTGAAGGGAAAGTCTTGATCACATGGGAGCTCTGTGCATATTCAACTGTTTTCTGCTCTAGGAGATACTGATAGAACAAATAAATATGAAGTTTTGTAAGTTCTTTTCACACATATATTCAGGAATGTCTTCAGTCAAAGTCTTGCTATAGGTGAAATGAATAACCACTTTATGTATTTAAGCTATAGAATTTAATATTGTTTCCTTTTATAATTACTTTCAAATATGATATTCCTATACCTGTGCACAGCATATACTCTGGATTAGATAGTAGTCTCTTGAGTGCAGTTGTGAATATTGTATCTGTTCTGTACTGATGCAGAAAGAAGTAGTTTTGGAATATTATTTGCTTTGTCTTAGATGATATCCAGAGGTCACCTTTATGTAAGTTCTAGTTTTAAAGGCACTGTAAAAGAATTGTGCCTGCCTGCACTAGGAATGGGAGCCTTATGTATGTTGCCATAAAGGTGCTCCAGTCAGTGGAAAGTTGCAATCTTTAAATTTCAAAAACCCTCATACACCTATTGATATTTGTGGTGTGACCAGATTACCTGTGAAGCTACACATGAACCTTGGGCATGTGGAAGTGACCACTGGCCATTTTGACCAACATTAGCATACAGTTCTCAAGAGAGTTAGCCAATATTCAATATTTCCAAAATTTTAGCCACCCCATCTTAATGGTTGATGGAGCATTAGAAAGAAGACAAATCAAATACGTCCATTTTGGGGAGGATTTCATAGGCCATAATTTGAGCCACAGATTGTATCTGAAAGATAATAAGTACCTTGTGTAGAGATTGGAGGGCTAGCCATCATATTTTGTACCCAGGGTTGTCCCTATGGTCATGGGGGATCCAAGACAAATCATACTGTGAATTTTTCCATCTTTCTAACTTGCACACTGTGTATCACAAAAAAGTTAATTGCAAAACTCGCTAAACACTAGTTGGCTGAATCGGGTGTTTTCAACTTTCCTTCCTTTTGTGGTGCCTTTTTACATTAATTCTAAATTGACCTTGGTTCTTTCAGCTTAGTCTGTATTTAATTCTTTGTTTGAGCTCCACATTTATTCAATCTAATAGTGCTACTATCTTAACATTGCCAGTGAATGTTCAAATTGAATAAAAGCTCCATCTAGGTTTTTTTATATATATAATGCAGTGTAAAACAAAGGGTATCTTTTTTTCAGAACTTCATCTCTGATTTTTTTCTAATTCTGAGCTGAGCTACTGTATTCAGTGTTTTAAATGTCTACACTAATTAACTTTCTAGCTCAGCTTCTATCATAGACTACTCAAAGATTTATAACATTGAGGATCAGAAGGTTGAATCAAGGATTTAATAAAATGTGTTGGACAAAGAACAAGTTGTATAGCTGCACAGAATAATAAGAGTTCATTAAAGCATTGCTGATGTGGACATAATGATAATTGCTACTCATCTATTGAAATTGATTTAGTGCTTAGCCTTACTTAAACATGTCATTAACTAATTACTTTAACTAAACAGACTTTGCTGACAAACCTTTGAGTAACATACATTGCTAAATGTTTAAAGAGTAGCTTTGCTGAAACAGATTATAACATGTCAAAATGGAAGCTGATTCTAGAGATTCTGTGTTCCTTTCTCAAAAAAGTATCAGGGGTCCCTAATAAGGGTGTGTGTACATACAGTTTTTTCATGTATTAGATTTAACTCTGCTTTCCTCACTAGCAACCCCTTGTTGTGGACAGAACAAAAGGATCTCGGTTCAAAATGTAGCAGCGTGAATAAAGGGGGAGAATGTCAGGGTCTCAAAATAGCACAGTGCTTCCAGTTTACCTGACCACAGGTTTCCTGCAGGATTATTGTTCAAAAGCCAATGGGAAACTTAATAGAATAGGGAAAAAAACCTTGCTTTCCAAGAGGAAAGCAAGAGGAACAACTCAGATAATTATGCACTTTTAAGTAAGTATCTATAGAAAAAAAAAGGAAAGCAAAAAAATGAATTAGTTTATTCCTATAAAATAATCCAGTCCCTGGCTACACAGTCCCATTCACATTCTAGCTTTGGAGCTTAGGCTCTTTTTCCTCTATCAAATATTCATCTCTCCATTTCTGAATTTCTTCAAACAATTCTTCTTATAATTTTTTCAGAACTCTGCAAAAACTTTCTAAGAAAAACAAAGCCTTTGGTCTCCTATGGACCCATTGCTTCTAATTGCCAAAAAGGGCTTGGTTCCATGTGAATTTGTTCCCCTGATCTTTAACCAAAAGGCTTTCAGAACAGTTTCCACTTAAAACATCAAAATAAATTATTACATGAGGAGCACCAGCACAATCTCGGATTAAGCAAATAAAGCTGCAGATTAAAATAATTTTACAAATTGAAGCTAAAAGGACTGAGTGAATTAAAAAGGTCTTCATCTGAACTAGAAAGGCATCAGGGTCAACAGCAGGCAACATTCCTGGGGAGAGCCTTCTACAGCAGGGCTCCATGAAAAATACATTTTCTTTGTCAAAACAAAAAAATTCCTTCCAGTAGCACCTTAAAGACCAACTAAGTTAGTTCTTGGTATGAGATTTCGTGTGCATGCACACTTAAGCTCATACCAAGAACTAACTTAGTTGGTCTTTAAGGTGCTACTGGAAGGAATTTTTTTGTTTTGACTATGGCAGACCAACACGGCTACCTATCTGTAACATTTTCTTTGGTTACTTTTCACCTTACTTCAGAAGATGGAGGAAGTTTGTGGGTGAAGAGCCCTTAAGGATTATCTTAGTCCTATATCAGTCCACATTCAAGCCTTTCTAATTAGTAATGGGTCCAATTAATTAATCCTATGTGTCATGGAGAGCGAGTTATTATATATGTAAAATTATAATAGGGAGCACCAGAAGTGACAAGAGGTGTGTGAGAGAGCATGAGAATGAAAGAGAGTGCTGTTATAAGACTGCTGTTATAGTAGCACAGGAAAGTACAGAAGCCAGATTTGCTGGGAATATAAGGAAGAAATCATGCAGGGGCTAGGCTATAGGATCCATGTAAGTATGTCCAGTGAGCTTTCTGTTTTGGGTGTAGCATAAGATCTAGTAAGAGATGCAACATTGCATTTCCATAGAGTTGTGAAGTTTCAGGGACCCCTGACAGGCCTCTGGCCACTAGAAGTTACTGAGGTACCGTAAATATCCCAGCCTGTCTCCCTTAACTTCTTCCAAAATACACTGTAGCCACCACCTACTGGGTGAGAGAGAGCAGTAAGAATCTCTTCTTATAGGTTTGACTGCATAAGCCAAAACAAGCACATGGGATGATAGGTGCTCTCCTATAATGTTCCAGCCTAGAAGACATTTTAAAACAACAACATTCAGATCAAGTAGTCATTTGAAACAAAATAAGAGATAATGGTTCTTTCCAACACCTTAACACAGATTTCCCTCTTCATCATTTTGTGCCTGGAATGAAAAGTATAAATGGCAAGTGGCTGAAATTTGGGGGAAATTACCTTATATGTATGTGATATGTCCTAGAACAGGTGTGATGAACTCATGACCCTCCAGATGTTGCTGGACTACAAACTACTTCACCCATGATAATCCCTGATTAGCCTGGGGCTGATGGAACCCAACAAAATTGGAGAGCCATGGGTTCACCATGCATCTCCTAGAAGGAATGTGCTATAGTTTTACATCTGAGTAAATTCTGTGGTGATGTACTGATGTGTAGTTTTGCCCATCAACTTTTGAGAGTGGGCAAAAATTGATCAAAAGGGGCAAGTGAATAAGGCACCACTTGTAGAGGGTGCAAGCAGGGGCGTAGTAACGTGGGGGCGTGGGGAGTGGTGTCTTGCCTAAGGAGGGTGACAAAAACCCGGGTGGATTGCAGTTGTGGCGCTCGCACGCCCCCGGCGGGCATATTTTTGCGATCAGCACAATCATTGCCGTGAAAATCTGCCTGCAATCGCGCAAATACACCCAGCAGGTGGCACTTTCACCCCCTGGTGGTGGGCGCTTGCATCCCCGGCAGTGTACAGTTGCACCCCTTGCGGGCACTCCCCCAGTGCTGCGCGAGGATTACGGCGGTAGCCCCTGCGCAAGGATCGTGGCAGCCGCCCTGTGGGAGGGTCGCTCTGCCCCATGGTTGAGTCGCCCAGCCCCCACTGCACCGGGTACCGGAGGAGCTAGCTACGCCCCTTGGTGCAAGTGTTTGTATTACCATGTTCATTTATTTGATACCCAGTGTATGGGAGAGGGGGGATTCATTACAGCCATTTAACAACCAACCCCTCTATCTTTCTGTGTGTATGTAACATAGTCCTTAGGCTTGAGATGGAACAAAAAATGGTTTTTATCTTTTGTAGGAAAATAAAAAAAATAAAAATAGATCTGATTTGAAATAATTAAAATAAAGAAAAAATAGAAAAAAACATAATTTGTAAGAAGGCAGAAGGAGAATTATAAATTAACAAATGTACATTTTTTTCAGATGACAGCTGCATTATAGGAGAAATAATTACTTGAAATATTGCTGCGTGTTCCCTTAAATACGATATTGATTTTTGTTTCTCTTTTTGGTGTATTTTTAATAATGCTAACAGTTATCCCCCCCCCACTCATGCTCAGAAAATGCAATAATAGTTGCAGTAGCTGGATAAATGACCTCTCTATTATGAGAAAAAGAAAATCTTTTCGTATTGTGAGGAGGCTAGTAAAAATGTGACTTGTATGCCTTCCTGCAGCCTGTAGCTGAGGTCAATACAGTCATGCTAACATTGAGGCAGCTGTGTGGAATAGTTCACTTGCTCTATTTAGATTCCATTTAGATAGAGAGTCACTGAAGATGACAGAGATAATTGCTATAGCATACATGGAGACAAATTCATTCTTTTTCTTCCATTCACACTAGATGAACTAATCACAAAAAGGCCACACACTCTGTGTTGAGCAAGTGCTGAGTCTAACCTTGGGATGGACAGATCAGTCTATATCCCATCTGGGTCACTTTCACATCTGTTCACTCATTCAAATCTGTTTCCTTACTTATTAGTCAGCTATAGTCCACACAGAAATGTGACTTAAAAGATGTGTTTGAATACATAATGTTACACTATTTTTTCTCATAATACACATTTTAAATGCATGTTGACACATATTTTTGAGTCAAGGAGTGTGTCTCAATGTTCAGAGGAGTGAACTATCTAATTGATAGCTGCTTTCAGATCCACACTTGAGCGTGGGATGTGAGGATTAGGTCAGGTCATATCATGAATTCACAGAACTGAATTCCTCAAGCACCCCATACTAATCCATCACAAAACATTAACAAATTACAACTGGTACAAAGTGAAAGCAATTTCCAAGAATTGTTCACACTACAAAACACACTGGGGTCTCTTGCATCCCTTAAAGGAGCCTTGAATCTGAATCACACATTCTAAATCTGACAAAAGTGAAATATTTAATTGAATAATATGTGCATTGGTTGTATTACTTCTACATACTGGCAAACAGTGTGCTCATGTATCAAGTAAAGCCTTTCGTAGAGGTTCACAGTCTTCACAAACTGCCACAGACTATCCAACCCTGAACCCTAGAGAGTCTTATCCCTGAATGCCAGCTGCCACAGACAAATGTACAGTACCCAAATAATGAAGCCTATGAAGGAGAGGCCCTCTGTCTTCCCTATATCAAAAGCAATCCCAGAGAACATGACCAACCATTTCCTTGATCCTACAAAATGCACAACATCCAGAGTCAATCCTTCCACTCCTAAGAGCAGAATGCCGTGTCAAAACTCTGAACATGTTCAGAGTGGAGGTATGGGATGTAAATGTAATTTGTTGAATGAAATATGTTGAATGAAATATTAGAAAACAGAATTGCAACTAATGTTGCAATAATGTTTTTGTTTTGTTGGGTTCCAGCTCATGTGCACGTTTTGGGGAATGAGATGACTAGGAAGGCTAAAGGTCAGAGGGTCATTTATCTTGTGCTGTTGTCTCATTCAGAAGTTAAGCATTTTAGTTTGTGATATGATGCATTTTCTGTAACCTGTTTTGAGTAAAGCTTTAACCTTATTACAAGATCACCACATGTGAAAAAGGTGCCTTCTTTTTCTTTACATGTCCAGCACTTATTTGGTTTATACATTTTTGCCTATCTACTAGGTGTTAGGTACCATTTATATAGCCCATGGGTAGGCAGACTAAGGCCTGGGGGCTGGATATGGCCCAATCGCCTTCTAAATCCGGCCCGCAGACGGTCCGGGAATCAGTGTGTTTTTACATGAGTAGAATGTGTTCTTTTATTTAAAATGAATCTCTGGGTTATTTGTGGGGCCTGCCTGGTGTTTTTACATTAGTATAATGTGTACTTTTATTTAAAATGCGTCTCTGGGTTATTTGTGGGGCATAGGAATTCATTCATTCCCCCCAAAAAAATATAGTCCAGCCCCTCACGAGGTCTGAGAGACAGTGGACCGGCCCCCTGCTGAAAAAGCTTGCTGACCCCTGATATAGCCTTTTCATATAATTTTCTCTTAAACCATAACATGTTTATATCCATATTCCATAATTGTTCCCATGCTTCCATTCCTATATTATGACTAATGAAGATTTCACTTGTTCATCCTTTGTCTGCCATTCCAATAACATCTTGTACATTTTAGAAATCACTTTAACACCACAATTTACCGTAACAGGTCTCTCTCTAAGTGTGACAGTTGTTCCCCAAACCCCTGCTTCATTTCCTTTTTAAATATTTCATTCAAATGATGATATTATAATCATGTTGTTAAGATTCCTGGTACATCCTTAAATTCTTTTAATTTAAATTCTCTGCCCTCCAGTTAATCCACACTTTAATAATAGCCACAAAACCATAAAGTCCAGTCCCATACATGTCTAAAAAAGAGGATAAACAAGCCAAATACATCCACAAGAAAGAAAAAGAAAGGAAAGCTTCAAAAGTTTTATTTGCTTACTGTTAGACCCAATAAAAATAGTTGTTTTCAAGGTTTTTAGAATTAATCCCAGGCAATTCAGGGAAATTAAAACTATAAAGCCCACTCTTTCAATGTCTACGTCTTTTAACTCCCAGAGACAAAAGAAAAATAAAAGAGAGAGAAAAAAGAGAAAAAGTATTCACAAGAACCTGATTCTGCTTTCCCTCCTTCTTTCTAGAGTTCAAGTTTAATTTAAATGCTTTTGCAGCTAAGCAAACTTACTGGAAATAATCATAAAGGTGAAAATAAAAATATCACATCCAGATCTCCAATTCATGGTCTTAACTCAGTTCATTTACTGGTGTGCTAATATTTAAACACATTAGTAGTTATTTGTTCTTTTATTTCCCCTGCAGATTACCTTCCATGCAGTTGAGTGCCTGTGTCCAGGGGGGCACCTCCTTTTTTCCTTCCTGGTGTGGATCCAATTAAATAATAAACAGGAATTAAAAAATGTGAGTCCTTTTACCTTTTCCAGATTGGTCCCAAATCCTTTTATTTTAGGGAGGTTGCCGCTTTAATGACGGATCTCAAGGCTTCTTGCCGTGGGGTCGTGATCGTGCCGTGTGTCTGTGCTCAATCTTGGAGCCTCCCCTGGCTCTCCCTGGAGCTTTGGGAACTCCATGAGAACATCTACTAACACCGCTGGACCCTCCAGAACCTGAACTAAAACCCTCAGATTTTTAAAGAGAAGGTGTGTGGCCCTCACTGCTCAGTGCTAGCTATCTCTGCTGTCCGCCATTGCCCACGGCAGACCCGGAAGCTTGTGGATGTAATCTCAGAGCTTCTGTCTATAATCTTTGAGAATTTTTGGAGAACAGGTGAGGGCCCTGTGGACTCTGCTTCCTTGGAGGTTTTTAAGCATAGGTTGTATGGCCATCTGTCATATGATCTAGTTGAAATTCTTGCATTGCAGGGGTTGGACTAGATGACTCTACAATTCAATGATTCTGTTATAATTGTATTTGCTTGCTTCACCTTGCCTCACCCAATCCTTAAGGAATATAAACTGTCATCTTTGTTTTTTCTTCTGTGTGATTCCTTCACTCCAGCAAGGGTGTTTACCCAGAGCCTAGAAACAGGCTTCCATGCATATATTCTGCTTTACGGTGTGATCCTGTACATGGGAATGGGTGCTTCATGGCAGTAACAACACATGTATCCTACAGCAAAGTGTTGTGCGGATGCCTGATTATTGTCTTCCAAAGCAACTACTCTATTCTGAACTTAAAAATGGAAAGCGTAATGCTGGTGGTCAACAAAAGAGGTTTAAAGATTGTCTCAAGGCAAATATAAAAAAAATGTAGTATAAACACCGACAACTGGGAAACACTGACCTGCGAGTGCTCCAGTTGGAGAACAGCTTTTACCAAAGGTGTCATGGGCTTTGAAGACACTCAAACTCAGGATGCAAGGGAGAAACGTGCTAAGAGGAAGGCACATTTGGCAAATCCACACCGTGATCAACTCCCGGCCCAGAAACCAATGTCCCCACTATGGAAGGACGTGTGGATCCAGAATTGGCCTCCACAGTCACCTAAGGACTCATTGTTAAAACCGTGTTTATGGAAGACAATCTTGCTCGGCTACGAGTGATCGCCAAAAAAGAAGAGGAAGAATAGAAACACCCGCATGTAAAATGATTAATCATAAGTACTTAGACATCTCTGATTAGCTTTGTGAAGGAAAAGAATTGATTGTGTTTGTTTCCCAAGAAATAGTAAGCTCAACCAATGAACAAGTGCTCACCACCTTTTCAGATGGGATATTTCTCTCATGCAGCACTCTGGTGCACGTGAGGCTCTCTGGATAGGGGGCAGTTTTTATATTGAGAATAATGCTCTAAGATATTATGATGCTAACATTGCTACTGCTGGACTCCAGTGCTGGTGGGGTCAGAGAGGGATAAAGATGGGTCTTAAAAGCCCCATCACACTCACATTTCCCCCCCAAGGTGATGCAGCTTTGAACTGTGTAGGTAAGCCAGAATTGCTTGACTATTCTGTATTTCTCTAAGGCTATATCTGTTACTGAGTGAGCTATCCCTTCCTACAACACATTCAGTTGGATCATTATGGCCTGTCTGGAACACCATGTGGACCTACTATTGAACAAATATTGGATTATACTATGCTTATAAACCCCAGGCATACCGCAATTTTGTCAGTTATTCACACATAAGCACTCTGGGGGATTGTACTGTAGGTTGATGGGGAAATGCCTTAAAGCATACAACCATGAAGTACTTTTATCTTTCAGTGGTGCTTTTAGACTAGATTTGCTTTGAAGCCACTGAAGTTTAATCCTAAAATATATAGTAAGTTTTGTCTTTTACAAAATTTGCGCCACATCACAAAAGTTTATAAATTGCTCAAAAATTGCTAGAAGAGAATTTATGTTTTCCTTAGTGGCTGTATTCCTTCAGGAAACACAATCAGTCATTTTTTTGACCACAGGAAAGCTCTATCATAAATAATGATGGTTGCAAATTAGATTCCTTAAACTACTAGTATTCTATTACTATTGCTAATAACACCATTTTTGCTTTGAGAAACTGTGGTGTGCCTCTGACAGACTGAAAGATGATCTGAAAGAAACAGAATATGTTGATATACATACTTCTTTTTATGTATGTGATGAACATTTAGTGATTATAGGTATATTAAAAATAAGGATAAAGGAATAGTCTATCATTGTCCAACATGGATGATCTATTTGTTCAATGCAAAGAATTAATGCAGACACAAGTTATAGACATGCTGATATAATTATGGATACATTTTCCAAATACAAGAGCTCCTAATTATGTATCAGGTGCAGAACCATGTATTAGGTCCAACCCAATTTGGTATAAGGTTCCTCACACTAAAAAAAGAAAAGAAAAGCCCTCTAACTGGTCTTCTCTAGTTTTCACCAAGATTGCCTGTTAAGCACAACTCAGATAGTGGCTTAAAACCTGGTCCATTTTGTACTGTCATCAATAGGGCTGCAGTACAGACTTTCCGTAATAACTGGTGTTAGCTCACAGAGGAAACAGGACATCTTTGGACACCATTTGGTATTATTTTGGGGTGTTTGTGGTCTCAAGGGTTCCTCTTGATATAATATAGTCTGCGCTAGACCCTAGTTGGCTCTGCTGCTTGTTGTTCCCTCTAACAGTGACCTCAGATGTGAAGTTCCAACAGAATTGTAACCAAAACAGGGTTGTGAAAAGAATAGGAAAATGTTATCATGCTGAAGAGAATCTGAAAGTTTGCAGTACAAAACAAATTTTGAAAGGAAAAGATCAAGGGCTAAACCTTCACCCCAAAAGCCTAATGGGGAACTGAGCATGTTCAGGCAATCTGGTGGAGCACATAGCTAGCTAGCTGGAATCCTAAACAGAAAGCACTCTACGGTGCAACATTTTTGGCAGGCCTCACTTGGTGAAAGTTCTGTCCCAGCAGTTACTGCAAATATTCAGTTCCAGGAAGGCAACACTCAATTGCCTTTGAAAAAGATGTTCGTCGGTAGAAGGAGAAATGCAATGTCATTCTACACTTGCCTGAACTTGCTTTGTCTGTCTTTTGGGGGTCACTGACTGGGTCCTGTGGGCATCAGTAAGGTGACAGACCACCAGCTGCTGTGATGTGGGAGGTGGAGATGACTTCACCCAGGGTTCATAGTAGATGCATAAATATATCCTGTGTCTTGTGAAATGATACGCCTGGATGCAGATGTCATTTGTGTCATATATTCTGCTATTTGAACAGCATATTTGTTTTTTTAACCTGAGATAGAAATGCTAAAGATGATTCTAAATAAAGAATATATGACTTTAGAAGATTTTAGCCTGATGCTGCAAATATACACAGCAAACATACTAAGGGCACAGCCCAATCCCAGAGAATATAATATATAGATATATAGTAGATAATATAATAGATAATATGAAAATATGAAAACATAAGTTAAGAAAATAATATTCATTAAGACCGGGCTAAAAACCTTCAATGGCGTTAAATAGACATTAAATTTGCAAAGGGCTAGATCCATTTTAAATTAAAAATCCTGACTGACTACAATGCTGCCTTGTGAGCACATTCTACAAGCATTAATAAAAGCATGACGAGTACAGATTTGTGTCAGTAGTTTTGTGAACACATCCACCAAGCCTCAATGGCTGTGTCATCCCATCTCCTAAACCTAGAAATAGCAGATCATATTTAGCTGGACAGCCACAAGTTACATTTTGCTGCCTATCAAAAGAAGTCATGTTGTCCAGAAATAAAAGAGGAGCAAGACAGGTCAAGATAGCTGCCTTTTCCCCAAAAACCCTCAAGCAAGAGAGTAATTCATTGGTGATAAAGGCCATTAAAAGCACTGTGCCCACAATTTTCTTAGGCTGACAAGGTTAAGGGGATGGTTCCAGGCTTGTTGGATTCCATAATTACATTCCAGTATTAAGTTATAAAGCCCCACAGGAAACTGTGAGATCAAAACCATCCAATATTTGCTTAAATGACTTGACACATGGAGGCTATGGAGAGCTATGGCATAAATGCCTGGAGAGAATGCTGGACAAATTTAAATATTCAGGCTGCTCTGTGGTAATTCTACACAGACTATTACGGTGACTGCTTGGACAGCTACTTTTAGCCAGTGAAACAAGAGAGCATACAAAATTAGTAAAGCGACTGAGTGGAATACTTTGGCAATGCAGCCCTTTTCATGTCTTCTGAGTAAATAATCATCAGTGAGAATGCCAGCCATTGAAGAAATACCTTAATAAATAAATAACTAGATTTAGGCCTTTTCTCTCCCCATTCTCAGAACATATTATTTCCTTTTTGTGTGCAGGGCCGTGTCATAAATGACTTTAAATGTCAATGTTTTTAAAATAGTGTGTTGTAATTTCCTGGGGGGGGGGGGAGGCCCAAATAAGCATGATAAATAAATTTGAGTTTTGCATAAATTCCTTTGCAAATACTTTGCGAGCCAAAGAGGTAAGAAGACACAAGTCACTTATGTGCAGAAATAAAAAATAAAATAAGTAAATAAAATAAAATATTAAAAGTATTTCTAAGTAGGATTCATTTGTCAAGAAGATCCAGGCAAACATAATGAATGTTTGATCAACATTAGCTGTTTCTCTCTCTCTCTCTCTGTGGTGTGTCTAATAACGGAAAACCTTTCAATGCGGGGAGCTGAGATAACTGGACCCAATGTGAATGAATGACCTTGACTTTCTCTACATCCTCATTTTAATTCCAAAGGCACCAAGACCGCTAGAACTTTTGAAGCACAGGTTAATGCTACCATTCACAATCATTTTTGCAGGTTTATAAGGGGAGAATAAAAAGTAACTCTTTACCATGCTGGGAAAGGCTCACTGGTATCTTTCAGCAAAGATTCCATAACCGTAACTTAAGTGGTGACAAGTCTGGTTTATTTCAGTCATTTACAAGCTTCAAGAATCCACACACAGTTGCACCATTTAAAATAATTAAGTAAGTATGGACTATTCTAGTTTATCGTGTCTTCCTTGTATTACATCAACCACTGTTTTTACACAGAACTATGTGTTATAAATCAGGGTTGGAGAACTTTAGCCCTGCAAATAGAATCATAGAATCATAAAAATTTTAGAGTTGCATGGGACCCCAAGGGTCATCTAGTCCAACCCCTTGCAATGTAGGAAT